AGGGAGGGATAGAAGGAGAAGGAAGGAAGGAAGGGACAGAAGGAAGGGAAATGGGGCCAAGATCTCCCTTTCGGGGTGACTGGTCAACAAGGACAAGGGACTCAAGTTGCATCCACACTGTAGAATTGATCTACTTTCACACCACATTGACTGCCAAGGCTCAATGCTATGCAACCCTGGGAGTTGCAGTTTCACAAGGCCTTGAAGGCTCTCAACCAAAGGGTGCTGTTGTCTCGCTAAGCCAAAACTCCCAGGGAACCAGAGCATTGAGCCCCCTTCTACACCGCCATATAATCCAGATTATCAAATCAGATATTCCACTTTATCTGTTTTGAACTGGATTATCTGAGTCTACATTGCCAGACAACACAATTCAAAGCAGATAATCTGGATTTTATATGGCGGTGTAGAAGGAGCCCAGAGTCATGGTAGGTCAAGTGATGTTAAACTGCATTAATTCAACAGTGCAGGAGCAGCATAAGAGACTGGAAAGGCAGAAGAGGGCTCATGTACAGTGGGACCTTCCTTCCTGGCATCATCATCATCATCATCATCATCATCATCATCATCATCATCATTATTATTAGAAACACAACAAGATCACTCTGCTGGCTGTTGTATTGGATCCCATGTCGGACCCTTCCCAAGTACCTAGGACTGTGTGATGTATCGGCGAATGATGCGTGCAGATCCCAGTAGGGTGGCCTTTCACAGCTGACAGGTGGCAATTTTCTCAGCGCCGATTGTGTTTAAGTGCAGGCCAAGGTCTTGAGGCACTGCACCCAGTGTGCCCATCACCACTGGGACCCCCTTGACTGGCTTGTGCCAGAGTCTTTGCAGTTCGATCTTTAAATCCTCATATCGTGTCAGCTTTTCCAGTTGTTTCTTTGCAATCCTGCTGTCACCTGGGATTACAGCATCGACATTCCATACTTTGTTTTTTAACACGATTGTGAGGTCAGGAGTATTATGCTCCAAAACTCTGTCTGTCTGAATCCAGAAGTCCCAGAGTAGCTTGACGTGTTCATTCTCTGTAACTTTTTCCGGCTTGTGATCCCACCCGTTCTTTGGCGCAGGCAGATGGTTTTTGTGGGACAAGTTCCAATGAACCATCTGAGCAAGGGTGTTGTGCCTCTGCTTGGAGTCTGTCTGCGTGATCTTCTTGCAGCAGCTGAGGATGTGATCTATTGTTTCACCTGCTTCCTTGCAGAGTCTACACTTGGGATCTGTCCTTGACTTTTCAATTCTGGCTTGGATGTCCTTGGTTCTAATGGCTTGTTCTTGGGCTGCCGGAATCAGGCCCTCCGTCTCCTTTTTCAGAGTTCCATTTGTGAGCCACAGCCATGTTTTTTCTTTATCAATTTGGCTCTCAATTTTTCCCATGAACTGTCCATGGAGAGCCTTCTTTTGCCAGTTTTCTCTTCTGCTCTGGATTGTGTTTTTACAGTATTCCCTCTATGTCTTTTGCAGTTTAAGCAGTTTACTACTATTGACTTCCCTCAATGTTGGTTCTTGACTGCCTTTCACATAATCTTCCAGGGCATGTTTCTCTTCTTCTACCATTTGTTTCACTTGCAGAAGCCCTCTGCCTCCTGATTTTCTGGCATATAAATCTCTGGTTGTACTGGTCCATTTAGTTTTCTTGGCAAGGATACTGGAGTGGTTTGCCATTGCCTTCCCCAGGGATCACGCTTGGTCTGACCTCTCTGCCACAACCATACCGTCTTGGGTGGCCCTTCACGGTTTCGCTCATGACATCATTGAGGTGCTCAAGCTCCAGCGCCCCGACAAGGCGGTGATCCTTTGCTGGAGCCCAGGGAGTTTCAGAAAAACATCTACTTCTGATTCATTGACTATTCTAAAGCCTTTGACTGTGTGGATCATAATAAATTGTGGCAAGTTCTTAGTGGGATGGGCATCCCAAGCCACCTTGTCTCTCTCCTGAGGAATCTGTACAAGGACCAAGGAGCAACAGTCAGAACTGACCACGGAACAACAGACTGGTTCAAGATTGGGAAAGGCGTACGGCAAGGCTGCATACTCTCACCCAACCTTTTTAACTTGTATGCAGAACACTTGTATGCAGAACACATTATGCGATGTGCGATGTGCGGGGCTGGATGAATGCAAAGCTGGGGTGAAAATTGCTGGAAGAAACATTAACAACCTCAGATATGCAGATGACACCACCCTGATGGCCGAAAGTGAGGAGGAGCTGAGGAGCCTTCTAATCAAGGTGAAAGAAGAAAGCGCAAAGATTATGGCAACAAGAATGATTGACAACTGGGAAATAGAGGGAGAAACCGTGGAGGCCGTGACAGACTTTGTATTTCTAGGTGCAAAGATTACTGCAGATGCAGACTGTGGCCAGGAAATCAGAAGACGCTTCCTTCTTGGGAGGAGAGCAATGCCCAGTCTCGATAAAATAGTGAAGAGTAGAGACATCAGACTGGCAACAAAGATCCGCCTAGTCAAAGCCATGGTATTCCCTGTAGTCACCTACGGATGTGAGAGCTGGACCTTAGGGAAGGCTGAGCGAAGGAAGATCGATGCTGTTGAGCTGTGGTGTTGGAGGAAAGTTCTGAGAGTGCCTTGGACTGCGAGAAGATCCAACCAGTCCATCCTCCAGGAAATAAAGCCCGACTGCTCACTGGAGGGAAAGATACTAGAGACAAAGTTGAAGTACTTTGGCCACATCATGAGGAGACAGGAAAGCCTAGAGAAGACAATCATGCTGGGGAAAGTGGAAGGAAAAGGAAGAGGGGCCGACCAAGGGCAAGATGGATGGATGGCATCCTTGAAGTGACTGGACTGACCTTGAGGGAGCTGGGGGTGGTAACGGCCGACAGGGAGCTCTGGCGTGGGCTGGTCCATGAGGTCACGAAGAGTCGGAGACGACTGAACAAATGAACAACAACAACAACAACAAGTCTATCAGCATAACAACGCGGGTGTCATGAGGAGTGGATTGTCATTGGTTTTCTTGTTTTTCTTCCCAGATCATCCAGCTCTGCTTTCGTCCAGTTCACAATCCCAGCAGTGTATCATTATTATTACTATTACTATTATTATTATTATTATTATTATTATTATTATTATTATTCACAAAAGCACAGTATGTCACAGCAAACGAGATCTATATGCTGGATTTCGTATCACAAAATCACAAGTCGAACACTTCCCAAGCGTCTAGGACTGTGTGTTGTTGTTGTTGTTGATGCACGCAGATCCAAGTCAGGTGGCCTTTTGCAGTTGACTGATCGTGATTTTGTCGATGTCTATTGTTTCCAAATGCCGGCTGAGATCTTTTGGCATGGCACCCAGTGTGCCAATGACCACTGGGACCACCTGGACTGGTTGATGCCACCAGAGCCTTTGCCGTTCGATGTTGAGGTCTTGATAGTGGCTGAGTTTTTCCTGTTGTTTTTCCTCCATGCGGCTGTCACCTGGAATGGCGACATCAATAATCCAGACTTTTTTCTTTTCCACAATCGTGATGTCTGGGGTGTTGTGTTCCAAAACTTTGTCAGTCTGGATTCAAAAGTCCCACAGTATTTTTGCGTGTTCATTTTCCATGACCTTTGCGGGTTTATGATCCTTTTACCAGTTCTTCACTCCTGGCAGGTGGTCCTTGTGACATATGTTCCAGGGAATCATTTGGGCCACAGAGTTGTGCCTCTGTTCGTAGTCCATCTGTGGGATTTTCTTGCAGCAGCTGAGGAGATGGTCCATGGTTTCATCCGCTCCTTTGCACAGTCTGCATTTGGGGTCATCCGCTGATTTTTCAATCCTGGCCTTAATAGCCTTGGTTCTGATGGCTTGCTCCTGGGCTGCAAGAATCAGGCCTTGTTTCCTTCTTCAGGGTTCCATTCATGAGCCATAACCAGGTCTTCTCCTTGTCAACTTTTCCTTCAATTTTGTCAAGGAACTGCCCATGCAATGCTTTGTTGTGCCAGCTGTCAGCTCTGGTTCATATTGCATTACTTTATAATATTATTATCAATATTAATCATAGAATCAAAAAGTTGGAAGAGACCTCATGGGCCATCCAGTCCAACCCCATTCTGCCAAGAAGCAGTCCAACCACCAGCCAAGATACCCAACAAGATTAGTACACAGCAAACAAGATCACTCTGCTGTCTGTTGCATATTATTATTATTATTATTATTATTATTATTATTGCAGTTTTATGCTTATTATGAAACCCTTGCATGACCCCCTCACAGCACTAAAAACGAAGGGGCAAGGAGACCCCTCGTCCATCAGCCTCTTACCTCCTTGAGTTTGTCTGTCAGCAGCCGGATCTCCTCCTCGTATTTGTCCTCCTTGGTGGAGTACTGGATGGGGAGAGGGAGATGGTTGAGTGCCCGCCCTGTGCCCCTTCCTCTCAGACCACCACCCCATCCCAGCCATAGAGCTCCATTACAGCAGCACATCTGCACCTGCGCACAGGTGCACACAGGTGCACCCGGCCCCCCGTACCTTGTCGATGGGGAGAGGGAGATGGTTGAGTGCCCGCCCTGTGCCCCTTCCTCTCAGACCACCACCCCATCCCAGCCATAGAGCTCCATTACAGCAGCACATCTGCACCTGCGCACAGGTGCACACAGGTGCACCCGGCCCCCCGTACCTTGTCGGATGGGGAGAGGGAGATGGTTGAGTGCCCGCCCTGTGCCCCTTCCTCTCAGACCACCACCCCATCCCAGCCATAGAGCTCCATTACAGCAGCACATCTGCACCTGCGCACAGGTGCACACAGGTGCACCCGGCCCCCCGTACCTTGTCAGATGGGGAGAGGGAGATGGTTGAGTGCCCGCCCTGTGCCCCTTCCTCTCAGACCACCACCCCATCCCAGCCATAGAGCTCCATTACAGCAGCACATCTGCACCTGCGCACAGGTGCACACAGGTGCGCTCGTCCCCCCGTACCTTGTCGGCCTGGGCCTCCAGGGACTTGAGGTTGTTGGTGACAATTTTCAGCTCTTCCTCAAGGTCCCCACATTTACGGTGAGAGAGAGGAAAGAAGGAAGGAAGGAAGGAAGGAAGGAAGGAAGGAAGGAAGGAGAAGGGGAGAAAGTGTTGAGAGCACAGAGCAACAGCCCCCAAAGAAAGGAAGGGGTCCCAGTCCTGGTCCTTGGTGGGAAAGCGAAGAGCATCAAACACCCACTTAATGCTTTTAATGCAGGTCTGGGCCAACTTGGACCCTCCCTCTAAGTATTTTGGATCAGAACTGGGACTGTTCAGGACTCAGACTCCATTTTAAGCGTCAGTAGAAACAAAACGTAGATACTCCATTAGACTCCCAGAATATCAAGATGTTGCTGTTGATTCCAAGAAAGGTGCCTTGTGATCACATCTGGGACTATTCAGAACTCAGACTCCATTTTAGGCGTCAGTTGAAACAGAACATAGAGACTCCATTAGACTACTGGCTGTTAGAAATTATGGGAGTTGAAGTCCAAAATACCTGGAGGGAGGGCCAAAGTTGGCCCAGGCCTGTTTTAATGTAAGCTCAGCTGCTATAATAATTTCCCAGCAACTCTTGGTGTGTCAACACATCCTTACAGATATTGGGGAGTGGGTGGTCTCGGAAGGGGAGAGAGCCTTGAAGCCTGGAGGGGAAGGGGCTGCACCCCCATAGTTTGTGCACCCCCATAGTTTGAGCCCTCTTCTCCTCCATTGGGCCCCTTCCAAACAGCACTGCATGGGGAACCTCATGAATGAGGAGGGGTCTTTGATGGGCCCCACTGATGGACAGGGACAGGACGAGGGGCTGCTGAAAGCAGAAGGACAGCAGCTTCCCCAGATGGGGGGCAAAAGGCAGGCGGAGCAAAAGGGGGTTCAGCGAAGAGGACAGAGAGCGATAGGGAGAGACAGAGGTAGGGAGGGAGGGGGGCACTGTGGCCCCCCTCGGAGGTACCTCTTCCTCTGCAGCCATCAGGGATTTGAGGGCCTGATCCATAGTGCGGAGTTCCTCTTCGAGCTGCCTGACGCGGCTGGGGAGGCAAGCGGGGGCAGGACGGGTCAGCTCCAGAATGGGGGGCAAGGGGGGCTGCAGGGTCTGTTAGGTCCCCTCTTATCCCCCTCCCCCCAAACAAGTGTAGGCCCTGGGGATATGTGTGGGAATCAAACCTCTGGAGAGGCTATACCTGTTGGAAACCGCAACCTTCTTCAAGCCTCCTTTCCTTAACTCTATGTTGTGGGAGGGGCTGTAGACCATGTGATCAGAACTGGGACTGTTCAGGACTCAGACTCCATTTCAGTAGAAACAGAACATAGAGACTCCATTAGACTCTCAGAATGTCAAGATGTTGCTGTTGATTCTAAGAAATATGCCTTGTGATCACATCTGGGACTATTCAGAACTCAGACTCCATTTTAGGCGTCAGTAGAAACAGAACGTAGAGACTCCATTAGACTCTGGGACTGTTCAGGACTCAGACTACATTTTAGGCGTCAATAGAAACAGAACGTAGAGACTCCATTAGACTCTCAGAATGTCAAGATGTTGCTGTTGATTCTAAGAAAGGTGCCCTGTGATCACATCTGGGACTATTCAGAACTCAAAACTCCATTTTAGGCGTCAATAGAGGACTCAGACTCCATTTCAGTAGAAACAGAACGTAGAGACTCCATTAGACTCTCAAAATGTCAAGGTGTTGCTGTTGATTCTAAGAACAGTGCCTTGTGATCACATCTGGGACTATTCAGAACTCAGACTCCATTTTAGGAGAGCAGAAACAGAACGTAGACTCCATTAGACTCTCGGAATGTCAAGATGTTGCTGTTGATTCTAAGAAAGGTGCCTTGTGATCACATCTGGGACTGTTCAGGACTCAAACTCCATTTTAGGAGTCAGTAGAAACAGAACGTAGAGAATCCATTAGACTCTCGGAATGTCAAGATGTTGCTGTTGATTCTAAGAAAGGTGCCTTGTGATCACATCTGGGACTATTCAGAACTCAGAATTCATTTCAGGAGTCAGTAGAAACAGAACGTAGAGACTCCATTAGACTCTCAGAATGTCAAGATATTGCTGTTGATTCTAAGAAAGGTGCCTTGTGATCACATCTGGGACTATTCATGACTCAGACTCCATTTTAGGCATCAATAGAAACAGAACGTAGAGACCCCATTAGTCTCTCGGAATGTCAAGATGTTGCTGTTGATTCTAAGAAAGGTGCCTTGTGATCACATCTGGGACTATTCAGAACTCAGACTCCATTTTAGGAGTCAAATAAACAGAATGTAGAGACTCCATTAGGCTCTAGGAATGTCAAGCTGTTGCTGTTGATTCTAAGAAAGAAGCCTTGTGATCACATCTGGGACTATTCAGAACTCAGACTCCATTTTAGGAGTCAGTAGAAACAGAACATTAATAGAGTCTCTCTAATAGACTCTCAGAATGTCAAGATGTTGATTCTAAGAAAGGTGCCTTGTGTTATCTGCACAGAGAAACTACTCCAAATCCTATCTGTAACTGGAGTGATATGCAAAGTACCTGTATGCTGAATACATGAAGTTTGTGAGTAAACCAACTATGTTATTTCCAACAAAGACTACTTATTTTTGTCTCTTGACAACATGATACAAACCATGGAATAGATGCTTTTGGGCAACCGAAATAACACTTCTGAAACTCTGCTGTTTTTTGTGCACTGGCATATCTTTGAAAGAGCTAACCAGGGATATCAGTCTAACAACTGAGAAACCTAATTGCCTTGCATGAATACTAGTGGGTATTTGCCACCATGGAAAAGGTTGACTCATGTGAGTTTTTAACTCTTCTCAGGAAGATCATACTTTACAAAAGGTTACGATTTCCAACAAGGTCATTCCTTTCCAAAAGGTTATGATTATTCCAAATAGTGTGAATACCAATTAATCTCCAACAAAATCACACTTCGAAAAGCCTGTGTGGAGATTCCTGGTTTTCCCAAATGGTTATGAATATCCATTTTCCAAAAATATTTCCAAGTGGGGAGGGGGCTCTTCCAATATGTCCGCAGGAGACCTACGCTGGTCAACCCCTGGACAGAGAAATTGGGCCTCTTCTGCCAAATGCCAAGTGAACCAAAGAGATGAGACACCTCCAACCCTCGCTTGGTGTTGAGCAAGGAAGGCCCCCCACCCAGATGACCCACTACTGGCAACAGAGAGGGGCCAAACAGCCACATTGGGGTCAAGGGAGGCTTCCTGGTACAGGTAGACCCACCACCACTCACCTCTCAGCGACCTCTGCCCGTTCCTCAGAGCGCTCCAGGTCTCCCTCTAGAATGACCAGCTTCCGGGCAACCTGTCAGGAAAAGCAGAGTCCAGGGTCAACAAGGAAAATGTCCAGCCCCCCGCCTTGCCCCTTGCCTGCCCACCCTTTGCACTCAACAGACCTCCTCATATTTGCGGTCAGCCTCCTCCGCGATGTGCTTGGCCTCCTTCAGCTGCATCTCCTGGAGCTCCATCTTCTCCTCGTCCTTCATGGCACGGTTCTCGATGACCTTCATGCCTCTGGGGGAGAAGAAGGGGGACGCCAATGAGTCCAGTCTAGCTCAAGGGGCTGCCCAGTTTGCGGCCAGAGGCTCCTCCCTAGACCAGTACAATGGGGATGCATTTAGTTTGCTGGGGAATGCCCACTGCTGTTGCAATTCCAAAACAACCCCATGTCTTATCCATGATTAGCTTTCAAGCCTTTCCAGTTCTTGTTCACTCCATCGTGTTTCTCCCCTTGGTCTCTCTCTGCCCTGGTCACCCGAGGCTGACCACAACACAGCCCTAGAATCAGGGCTTTCAAAAAGCATTGGACCTCATCTGCCATAATCCGCACCCAATGTGGCCACTGGCCAGGAAGCATTACTTGGAACCAACTGTGGCATGAAAAGGTTTGGACCCAACTTACCTGTCCAAATGCATCTCTCCTTATGAACCTTCCAGGACTTTAAGATAGTCTGGGGAGGCCCTGCTCTCGGTCCCACCTTCGTCACAAGCACGGCTGGCAGGGACGAGAGACAGGGCCTTCTCAGTGGTGGCCCCTCGGCTATGGAACGCCCTCCCTAAGGACATTAGATCGGCCCCCTCCCTTTTAACATTTTGGAAGAGAGTTAAAACTTGGCTTTTTGAGCAGGCATTTGCAAATACAGTGTAACAGATGTAGGAAAATGGAATGGTTGGACAATGTGATTGGATGATGTTTTTTAACGAGGAGACTCTAGTGATACATGTTTTTATTGATTTTATTGATTCTGCTAGGGATCTATTATTTGATTGTTTTATTGTATTGAAATTGTATTTTATGGTCTTAGTACCAACTGTAAACCGTCCCGAGTCGCCTGCGGGCTGAGAGGGACGGTATATAAATATAGCAAATAAATAAATAAATAAAGGATGGGGACCCTTGGTAAATCAATTGTGTGGTTTCCAGGCTGTACGGCTGTGCTTTATTTATTATTATTATTATTATTATTATTATTATTATTAGAAACACCACAAGATGAGTCCACAGCAGACACTCTGCTGGCTGTTGTATTGGATCAAACGTCGGACACTTCCCAAGTGTCTAGGACTGTGTAATGTATCGGCGAATAATGTGTGCAGATCCCAGTAAGGTGGCCTTTTGCAGCTGGCAGGTGGTAATTTGGCCAGCACCAACTGTTTTTAAGTGCAGGCCAATGTCTTGAGGCACTGGACCCAGTGTGCCGATCACCACTGGGACCCCCTTGACTGGTTTGTGCCAGTCTTTGCAGTTCGATCTTTAAATCTTCATATTGCGTCGGCTTTTTTTTTTTTTACTGCCACATAAACAGAGTATGTCACAACAAGCGCGATATATATGCTGGATTTTTAATGTATTGTCGAAGGCTTTCATGGCCGGAATCACTGGGTTGTTGTAGGTTTTTTCGGGCTGTATGGCCATGGTCTAGAGGCATTCTCTCCTGACGTTTCGCCTGCATCTATGGCAAGCATCCTCAGAGGTTGAGAGGTCTGTTGGAACTAGGAAAAAGGGTTTATATATCTGTGGAATGACCAGGTAAGACAACTTCTACATGTATTGTTGAAAGCTTTCATGGCTGGAATCACTAGGTTCTTGTGGGTTTTTTCCGGGCTATATGGCCATGTTCTCGAGGCATTCTCTCCTGACGTTTCGCCTGCATCTATGGCAAGCATTCTCAGAGGTAGTGAGGTCTGTTGGGACTAGGGATAGAAAATGAAAATGAAAATGAACAAAATCTGGCTACCAGTATTAAAAAACTCTAAAATTACAACAGCACAACAACATACAATGACAGTCGCATTGAGGAAAAACAACAGGAACAACTCAGCTGTTACCAGGACCTCAAAATCAAACTGCTAAGGCTCTGATATTTTTATTATTATTACTATTATTATTATTATTATTATTGGCTCCTGACAAGCAAGGCATTAGGAGAAAATGCTGCTAGAACGCATTGGCCATACAGCCCAGAAACTACACAACACTCCAGTGATTGTAACTGTGAAAGGCTTTGACAATACATAGAAACATTTACAACTGGTTGCAGGAGAAAGGTCTCTCTACCAGCTCCTTTTTGTGACTTGACTGACATGGGGGTGGGCAAGGAGCAGGGCCACACCCTTGGGATGCCCCCACCCCTCTCCCAGGGTCTCAGCGGACCCCCCACACACACACACACACGCATACCTCTCGCTCTCATCTGCCATCTTCTCGGTCTCCTCCAGCTTCTGCAGAGCGGTGGCCAGGCGCTCCTGGGCCCGGTCCAACTCCTCTTCCACCAGTTGGATGCGCCGGTTCAGGGAGGCCACATCGGACTCTGCCTGCAAAGCAAAGCAAGGGAGTTAGAGTGGGAATGCACATCGGTCAGCAGGAGAGTGTGTTGGACGCTGTTGAGCCCACCGTCCCTTAAGATGTAGTAGTGGCTAGGGTCAACTTGGGCCCTCCTTCCAGGTGTTTTGGACTTCAACTCCCACCATTCCTAACAGCCGATAGGCTGTTAGGAATGGTGGGAGTTGAAGTCCAAAACACCTGGAAGGAGGGCTCAAGTTGGCCCATGCCTGGGCTAGTCAGGTAGCTGTTTAGTGTTTGCAGTATATACATATAACAAAGATCTCTTTTTTGGTACTGTCTTTATGGCAAGCTATTTAACCTCAGCAGACTGAAAGCCAAAACCAAGGTTACAACAACATCCGTTATAGAACTCTAATATGCTGATGACAATGTCGTTTGTGCACATTCAGAAGAAGACCTACAAGCCACTCTAAACACCTTCGCAGAAGCATACAAGAAGCTCGGCCTGTCATTGAACTTTGAGAAAACCAAAGTGCTGTTCCAGCAGACACCAACCAACTCTAAAAACCTTCACAGAAGCATACGAGAAGCTCAGCCTCTCATTGAACTTCGAGAAAACCAAAGTGCTCTTCCAGCTGTCCCAGGGACATTAAAAACAATAAAAAGGGCTTCTATTCTTATGTCAGTAGAAAAAGGAAAAACAAGGAGGCGATAGGACCTCTTCGAGGAGAAGATGGGGCAATGCTGACAGGGGATAGGGAAAAGGCAGAACTACTTAATGCTTCTTTGCCTCGGTCTTCTCACAAAAAGAGAGTCTTCAACCTCAGCAAGATGGAGTGGATGAGGGATTGGAGGACATCCAACCCCAAATTGGGAAAGAAGTCGTCCAGGAATACCTGGCCGCTCTTAATGAGTCCAAGTCCCCTTTCAGGGCCAGATCAACTACACCCCAGAGTATTGAAGGAACTAGCGGAAGTCATTTCGGAACCATTGGCAACCATCTTTGAGAGTTCTTGGAGAACGGGAGAAGTTCCAGCAGATTGGAGGAGGGCCAATGTGGTCCCAATCTTCAAGAAGGGAAAAAAGGATGACCCAAACAACTACCGTCCGGTCAGCCTCACGTCGATACCGGGCAAGGTTCTGGAAAAGATTGTTAAGGAAGCGGTCTGCAAACACTTAGAAACAAATGCAGTCATCGCTAATAGTCAACATGGATTTTTCAAAAACAAGTCATGCCAGACTAATCTGATCTCTTTCTTCGATAGAGGTACAAGCTGGGTAGATGCGGGGAATGCCGTGGATGTAGCGTACCTGGATTTCAGGAAGGCCTTCTTTGACAAGGTCCCCCATGACCTTCTGGCAAGGAAACTAGTCCAATGTGGGGCTAGGCAAAACTACGGTGAGGTGGATGTAATTGGTTAAGTGGACGAACACAGAGGGTGCTCACCAATGCTTCCTCTTCATCTTGGAAAGAAGTGACAAGTGGAGTGCCGCAGGGTTCCGTCCTGGGCCCGGTCCTGTTCAACATCTTTATTAATGACTTAGATGAAGGGCTAGAAGGCAGGATCATCAAGTTTGCAGACGACACCAAATTGGGAGGGATAGCCAATAGTCCAGAGGACAGGAGCAGGATTCAAAACGATCTTGACAGATTAGAGAGATGGGCCAAAACTAACAAAATGAAGTTCAACAGTGACAAATGCAAGATACTCCACTTTGGCAGAAAAAACGAAATGCAAAGATACAGAATGGGGGACGCCTGGCTCGAGAGCAGTACGTGTGAAAAAGATCTTGGAGTCCTCGTGGACAACAAGTTAAACATGAGCCAACAATGTGATGAGGCGGCAAAAAAAGCCAATGGGATTTTGGCCTGCATCAATAGGAGCATAGTGTCTAGATCTAGGGAAGTCATGCTACCCATGCTCTATTCCGCCTTGGTTAGACCACACCTGGAATATTGTGTCCAATTCTGGGCACCACAATTTGAAGAGAGATATTGACAAGCTGGAATGTGTCCAGAGGAGGGCAACTAAAATGATCAAGGGTCTGGAGAACAAGCCCTATGAGGAGCGGCTTAAGGAGCTGGGCATGTTTAGCCTGAAGAAGAGAAGGCTGAGAGGAGATATGATAGCCATGTATAAATATGTGAGAGGAAGCCACAGGGAGGAGGGAGCAAGCTTGTTTTCTGCTTCCCTGGAGACTAGGACGCGAAACAATGGCTTCAAATTACAAGAGAGGAGATTCCATCTGAACATGAGGAAGAACTTCCTGACTGTGAGAGCCGTTCAGCAGTGGAACTCTCTGCCCCGGAGTGTGGTGGAGGCTCCTTCTTTGGAAGCTTTTAAAAAGAGGCTGGATGGCCATCTGTCGGGGGATTTGAATGCAATATTCCTGCTTCTTGGCAGAATGGGGTTGGACTGGATGGCCCATGAGGTCTCTTTCAACTCTTTGATTCTAGGATTCTATGACCAGCCAATCCCTCTCCAATGCCAGAAATACAGCTTAATGGTATAATGTTAGAAAATGTGGACCATTTCCGCTCCCTTGGCAGCCACCTCTCCACAAAAGTCAACATTGACACTGAAATACAACACTGCCTGAGCTTTGCAAGTGCAGCATTTTTACGAATGAAGCAGAGAGTGTTTGAGGACCGGGACATCCGTAAGGAGACCAAGGTACTTGTTGATAAAGCCATTGTCCTCCCAATGCTGTTAAATTGATATATTGTTGTATTGATGTTTACTGTTTAATTAACTTGTTATGTGATTGCTTTTAAATACCCAATAACCATGTATTTTGTATACTGAAACTGTTGCTGTTAACCGCTCTGAGTCGCCTAAGGGCTGAGAAGAGAGGTATACAAATAAATAAATAAATAAATAAATAAATAAATGTCTGTAAAACGTGGACTATCTACAGATGTCACATGCAACTCCTGGAATGATTCCATCAGCGTTGCCTCTGAAAAATCCTGCAAATCTCTTTGGAAGACAGGCGGGGAAATGTCAGTGTGCTGGAAGAAGAAGCAAAGACCACCAGCATTGAAGCGATGATGATGAAAGAGGAGCTCAAAGCCAACCTTAAAAACTCTGGCGTAGACACCGAGAACTCGGAAGCCCTGGCCCGTGAGCATTCTAGCTGTAGGTCAGCTGTGACCAGCAGTGCTGCAGAATTTAAAGAGGCACGAATGGAGGGCCAAAGAGAGAAACGTGCCAAGAGGAAGGCGCGTCAAGCCAACCCTGACTGGGACCGCCTTCCTCCTGGAACCTGATGTCCTCACTGTGGGAGAAAAGGCAGGTCAAGAATAGGGCTCCACAGCCACCTACGGACCCACCGCCAAGACACTGCATCTGGAAGACCATCAACCTCAAGCTACAGGGATCACCTAAGTAAGTAAGTAAGTAAGTAAGTATTCTTTCTTGATGTCTGAATACAAATTAGTCTTTTAAAAAGAACACTGTAGCAAAACTGAGTTACTTTTCAGGAGTCACTGTTGAGAGGCCCAATGGGCTGGAAGGGGGCTGCTTCTTGCCAGTCCTCCTTCTCCTTTTCCTAAAGCGCCCAAGGGACCTTTGCAGCACATGTGTGCTTGCCTGCACATGCATATCTCCACATCTCCATGCGCCTCACAATCTCTGCAGGGCTTCGAGCGTCAACGCTCAAGACTTGTGGTGCCAGACTGCATTCATTCCACAGTGCAGATGCACCCGTGGGCAAGGAAAGGGCGCCCAGTGCAAGAGGAGGGAATCAAGCTGAGTTACTTCTCAGAAGTAACTTTCCAAAGGCCCAATCGCCTGGAGGGAAAAGGGGGCTGCTTCTCACAGGCCCTTCTTCTCTTTGTTGAAGGCTCCCAAGGGACTTTTGCAGCAGATGTGTGCATGTGCATCTCCACATGTGCATACACCTCACAATCTCTGCAGGACTTCAAGCGTCAACGCAAGACTTCTGGGAGGAAATGGAAGAGGAAGAGGCTCCTATCCTGCCCCATTGCTAAATTCCATGGGATGGATGTCTGCCCCCCCCCCCCCAATTTCCTGCATTCTATTATGGAGATGGATTCCCTCCTTTGCCTGGTGCAGACCCAGCTAAAGCCCGACTGGCAGGAGCTGCAGCTACACTGCAGCATGAATGCAAATGGGATGCTGCTTCAATTGCCACAGCTTAGTGCCGAGAATGCTCCAATACTACAACTCCCAGGATATTGTAGCATTGAGTCACGGTGGGGAAAATGGTACCAGACTGCATTCATTCCACAGTGCAGATGCACCCGTGTGCAAGGAAAAGTCTCCCAGTGCAGGAGGGGGCTGTGCTTCTCATGGCTCAAGCCGAGTTACTTTTCAGGAGTAACTTGAATGGCCTGGAGGGAGAAGGGGGCTGTTTCCTGCAGGCCCTTCTTTCCTTTTCGTTGAAGGCTCCCAAGGGACTTTTGCAGCAGATGTGTGTGTGCATGCATGTATACACATGTGCATGCACCTCATAATCTCTGCAGGGCTTCGAGCATCAATATAAGACTTCTGGGAGGAAATGGAAGGAAGAGGAAGAGGCTCCTACCCTGTCCCATCCCTAAATCCCTGCATGCATACGAATGTGCATCTCCGCATGTGCATGCACCTCACAATCTCTGCAGAGCTTCAAGCATCAATGCAAGTCTTGTGGGAGGAAATGGAAGGAAGAGGAAAAGGCTCCTATCCTGCCCCATTGCTAAATCCCATGGGATGGATGCATTCTCCCCCCCTCCCCACATTTCCTGTTTTCCATTATGGAGAGGGCTTCCCTCCTTTGCCTGGTGCAGAGCCAGCCAAAGCCCAACTGGCAGGAGCTGCATCTACACTGCAGAATGAATGCAAATGGGATGCTGCTTCAATTGCTACAGCTATGGAGCCATAGCGAGACACAGGCACTCTTGGGCAGAGAATGCTCCCAGACTACAACTCCCAGGATATTGGAGCATTGACTCATGGTGGTGAAAGTGGTGCCAGACTGCATTCATTGCACAGTGCAGATGCATGCGTGGGCAAGGAAAGGGTGC